TGACAGAATGACATTATGCTATAAAAATCTCCAGCTCTCCTTCATTACAGTGCAGACGATTACAGTGTCATTCCCTCTCTGTCCACATGAGGGGGCGCGAGTGTCGCTGTATGAACTCATGATCAGATTCTACCAATGAACATGAAGAACATTCATAAAATGTGCAAAGTACTTGTAAACAAGCAAGAAATAAATGTGTAAACACAAAGTGTTGGAGAAGAAACAAATATTTATTATAGTATTATTATCTCCACACAGCTTACTACAGTCCAAGCTGACATTAAAACATGAAACCACAACAACATGAACTACTTTCATCATTAATAATGTGTTACCAGTGTCATCAGATCATCATATTGTAATGATTTCTGAAATATCGAGCGACACTAAAGACGAGAGTGATGATGCTGGAAATTCAGCTTTCATCACAAAAATAAATGACATTATAATATGTTCACATGGAAATGAGAAAGGTAAACTATAAATAATATTTTACAGTATTTCTAATGCAATAAATACACCTTTGGTAAACAACTCCCTGCTACACAATAGTTCATTATAAATATTATAATTATGACTTTATTAATAATCACTTCAGTTTCACCTGTTCTTTAATTCAAGAAATAAATTAATTACTAAAGTTATTCTTCAGAAAGTGGAGTATTTTGAGCGTAGTGTGAGAGCAAGAGTCCATCACCAGCTTGACCTCTGACCTCCGGGGTCAACTGACCTGTGATTAGTGTGTGTTTCCTCTTTTGTTGGCTCGTTCGTCCTGCTGTTATTTCACTAATGACTCTTGATTCTGAGAGGCTTTATAAACAACACACTCGGCTTGTTAAAGTCACTGAACACTACACTTCATTAAACATGCACACATACGACATCACCTGTATGCTATACAACTGCAGGCTAGATATGTTTGGGGTCAGTATGATGTTTAAATGATTTAAAATAAGCTTCTCCTGGTCACCAAGGCGGCATTTATTTCAGCAAAAATACAGGACAAATATTAAAATAGTGAAATGTTACTGCACTATAAAATAACTGATCAAAAGTAGATTATTATTTAATTTAATCATTTATTCCAGTGATTTTACAGTGATTTTTAGTAAGTTATACCAGTGATTAGTATTTACTCCAATCTTTAGTCACATGATACTTCAGAAATCACTCTCATTTAATAATAATAAATAATGATAATAAATAATAATAATAATAATGATAATAATATTAATAATACTTAATTATAATAATAAAAACAAATAAATAATAATAATAATAATAATAATATTAATGATAATAATAATAATAATAATAATAATAATAATGATAATAATGATAATAATAATAATAATACTTAATTATAATAATGATAATAATAACAATAATAATACAAATAAATAATAATAATAATAAATAATGATAACAAATAATAATAATAATAATAATAATAATAATAATAATAATTATTATTATTATTATTATTATTATTATTATTACTACTACTACTATTATTAATGGTAATAAAAGCAATAATAACTGTAGTAATAAATTCATTTAAAACTTCTTACAATAACTAACAAATAAATATCTAATAAATCCCACCTTATTCTGAACAGAATAATTTTATTTCAATTATTAAATAAAATTCATAATAATTTAAAAACTGACACCACACAGAAATAGGGGAGAGCGGGGCACAAAGTAACGCTTTTTGCTTTTGGTTAAATAATGAATAAAGTATTGGGGTTACATTTACATTTAGTCATTTAGCAGACGCTTTTATCCAAAGCGACTTACAAATGAGGTCAAGGAAGCAATTTAAACAACTATAAGAGCAACAATGAATAAGTGCT